AATTGCACTAGAGTCTCTGATGAGTGAATCCCTTCAGAAAGAATATATGGACAAAAATTGTATGTATAACCTCAGTAACTGGTAAGACAAAAGCAAGATATATAATATATATTTTTAATTGTAAGTCCAATTGGGAGGGTAGACTACATAAGGCAGAAAAAATGGGAAGAAATGCTACCAAGAAATTCTTCCTGAAAATAATTTTCTAAAAATCCATACAAGGTATTTTGGGTGTTGTGGAGCACATCAGTACTTGTACACTCAGGAGGCTGAGGCATGAGTATTGCAGAGAGTTCTAGGATAGCCAGGGCTACACAGTAAGCTCATAGTCTGAGAGAACTTTATAGGAAGACCCTGCCTCAAGAACAATGATAATAACAGAGATATGGACTAAATAATTCTAACGAAGGAAGAAGGAAGAAAATAATTTTTATAATGATTGAGTTATTATAAGTAAATACTTATGGAGTTGAAATCTTGTTTGAACCAAAAATGGTTATTTTGTTTATTAACATTTCAGTTTTCATGGTGTAAATGGCCTGATGTTTGTACATTTAAAAGGAAGAGGACATATTTCAAAGATGAGAACAGAGGGACATGAGGTATGAAGATTATGCTATCTGGGTGATTGCACTGCACGTTATTCGACAGTTGTAAGATCTCAGCTCAAGGAATAATAGCACTGTGTAAGCTTTGCCTCATCAAAACTCTCATAGTTTTGCCTCAAGAAAGCACTAGAATTGCCTCTCACTCACTTGGAGATTAAGCATTAATTTCATATCTTTCAGTTACTATTCATGTGACTTCAGGAAAAGTGCAGAAGTAGCTTTGGTTGTTCTTCAACTCAATCTCACGTGTATGAGCTAGATGACATATTTTCCATTCAATGCTTACTCTATATTTTATTGTGAAATATAAAGAGAGAGGAAACTTCCTGGGTGATAATAGTAGCATCATTTAAAATTTCACGGTGATGTTGGGATGGTTCCAGGTCACAGGGATGAAGGTGTGGAAGTTTTTCCCACTGCTTCTCTCCTCTGTGTACGTGGATAAGTGCCTTGAAATCTCAGAGGTCTCCACAGAAGTGTTCCGACTGTTATGCTTTTTCTTCCTTTCCTTGAGAACCCTTGACATAGTCTCGCAGGGAACACTGTGGGGTGTTGTCAAAGCAAACTTTAAGTCTCTCAGATGACTTAGATATAATGAACTGAACCAATTTAAGTGCCATTTCCTCAGGGAAAATCACACATAGAGTGGGGAGCCTTAAATTCTTATCCATACACAAAGTCAGAGTGATTCCAGAGAAACAGATCTGGTTCTTCTTTCAAAGCAAGAATTGCCATGACTTTTGATGCTCAGCTGGGTTTGGCAACTCTTCCTTACCTTTGGATTTTGACTGCAGACACTCAAGGTCAATGACACCTGATTCTTTTAAACGTATTGCAGAATGCAGTAGCTCGCTGTGAACCGTGTACTCTTGGGGTAGTGTTTTGTTTTTAGGTATAATAGTCAAGACATTGAACAAATGTCACAGGTCGGGACTGGGGATTTAGCTCAGCAGCAAAAAGCGCCTGCCTGGCATGCGCAAGGTCGTGAGTTCAGTTCCCGGTACCGGAGAAAAATCAAAAAAAAAAAAAAAAAAAAAAAAAAATGTCCCAGGTCAATCAGACTGAGGGGAATTTCAAGTGGTATTTAGATAATGCAAGTATCGATAGAAATAGGAAATAAACATAGTGCTTTGCTTTTCTCATCAAATAGCACTGAATAAATTTGGCAATTCCATATAAAATACAAGATACGGAGTTATATTAGATTTTGAAAACTATGAGATATTGCCCTTATTATATGAAATATTTTATCATTAAAATGTCATTTTGCAATTAATATATAATAGCACTGTTTTTTGTTTTTTTTTTGGTTTTTCTCCGGTACCGGGAACCGAACTCACGACCTTGCGTTTGCCAGGCAGGCACTTTGCCGCTGAGCTAAATCCCCAGCCCCTAATAGCACTGTTTTTGAAAGGTATTTCATGGTACTATTTCCATGGTGAAATTTCCTAAGTTTAAATTATTATCACAACAGTGTGTCACATGCACCATCATGCAGATATTTTATACTTTGCATTTTTTACAGTGTTGCTTATTTCTAGCTCTGTACTTTCACACAGTATATTCAATGTGGTATAAAGCACACAGTGCATACATAGAAATAAACAGATGGGCTTTCAGGAGTTTAGGAATTATAAAGAAACCCCAAATAATTGCTAACTGAAACGAGCTTACATAACTGAAAAACATTTCTTCAAAACACCTTTTGTAATTTGCCTGCCTAGTGGAGAGTCGCAAGGGGAAATATTTAAACCGTGTACAATGAGATACTTCAAAGGCCCTGGAGAGATTCTTTTTCTAACTGACAAGCTGCATGGGGAGAAGGAATGTATGTATCCCGATAGGAAGGTAAACTGGACGCCAGACATGGAGATACATGTAAGGTAGATGTGTCATTATTGCAAATACATAGACAGTTTATATCATAAGGTTGGTGCTGGATTTCTGGGTCTTTCTCCTAAATCAAATGCAACTTTTATTCTACAGTAAAACCGTAAGATGACAGACACTGTAAGTCTCCAAATTCAAATTTAAATTTTCAGAAGAAACTAGTCTATGGCTTATGAGTGAGAGGAAAAGGTCTGAAGAGCAAGACGCAAATGAAGCCTCTGCAGACCACTCCCCGGTGAAGAGAAGAGGGAAGCTGCCCAGCGGGCTCCGGGATCGCCCTGTGCGCAGCTGCATTTCCTGGCTCAGAAACGCAAGTGGGCGCCGATGTGAGCACATTCCTGGAACTCCTGCCCACTGCCACTTCTCGGAGCTGCCCTTGCTGACTTTGCGCTGGGTCCCAGGAAATGGATCCCTGGCGTCTGTGCACATGGACAGCAGTGGCCCAGTAAACAATTTTCTCTTCTAAGTTCAAGTAACAGAATGATTTGATATCCTATTTCTTCTCCAAGGGACAATCATATTGACACAGTTCGAGGTATTCATGACCTGATTCTGAATATAACAGTAAGAGAAATGAAGGGCTCAGTCTGAAGAGGTTCCCATCTTTAATCAGTTCTGCTTGGTTGATAGTTTCTTACATGAATTTTGTGAAGTGAAAGGCAACACTTTTCACAGACATATTTGAATATCAGAGCGCCATACTCTATTCCTTGATCAAAGTGCAGAAATAGTATAAAACCCATGTAAACAAATTATGAAAAGGATCAAATGAATATTGCAAAATATTTAAAAACTGTCATTTTACTAGTGTTACTTAATAATATAGCATATATAAAATTAAATACTGAAGTTGATGTGTGTTGATTAAAATCCGCTTATATAAGCAGGAATAAATCTACATCTTGAGTGTTTTAAAGTCTAATATAATTTCACATTCTCTTTCACTCAAATGAAGTAAAATTATCCAACACGCTGATTAATCAATGTAAATAGATATTGAGAATTAAAAAGTATTAAGAATTTCAAGGGTAAATAGTCATAACAACATAAAATCTATGAAATAATTAATTTTCATAATGAAATTGACATATTTACACACAGCAGCAGATATTTTTTCTTAGATAAGGAAGCATATATCCGTGAAAAGTGCCATTAATTTTTGAACATTATGGATATGCACACTAGTCTCCAAATAAATGTTATTACCTCAATGGTTTGTTACTTGGACTCTATAAATATCTCTAGATGTTAAATCACCATGATTTGAATTAAAGTATGAATGAGTGGGACTCAGAATGCAAAGAAAAATGTAGGCATAATTGACTGAGGGCTATACGTCTTATTTCTGAAGGTTTGCCAAAGATATCTTGCTTTGTGAATCCCTTGATAAAGCAGCGCATACTTTTAAGAGCACTAAAATTAACTTTGTATATAAGGAGGGCCAGAGATGTTGAAGAGGGCAGAGGAGGATAAGGAAAGAAAAGAAGAACTAAGATATGTCATTCACAGGTACAAATTCTCTGTGATGAATGTGATCATTATATATATTTAATTCTATCCATAAACTTAGTAAAAAGAAAGAAGAGAACTAAAACTCCACTAGATCTGCCAGACTACATTAGCAGCATAAGGTGTGATCGAGAAACACAATGTATGTTTAAATAACCACGTTTTACGACGTCAGTGAACATTGCCACTAATCAGTTCCAAAACATTCTCCTGCAAGGAGATAGAACCTAACCCATTATATTGCCGCTTTATGAAGCAGTCTCCAAAGTCCTGTTTCATGAGTGCCTTTTGTTGCACGATTGTGGCTTCCTTGATGTCTTCAATTGAGGAGGTTTACCTTTCGAGGCCAATCTGACCTTGGAGAACAGGCAGAGAGGGCAGGGTGACAGATCCAGTAAGAGAGGTGGCTATCATCTACTACAGGGTGTTCCTGAGACTGCCCTCCTATTGCATGGAATGGGCAGCAGCAGTCATCAGTTTGGGTCCCACGCTGGTGAAGGGAGACAGTCAGAACTGCCCCTGAGAGCAGCAGGGACAATGGCACCCGTGTGTTTGAAATACAGGGGATATATTGAAGTTGGTTAATGACAATGCATTGCACTTTAATAGATGTGTTTTCTTTCAATTTTTACCCTATTTTGCTAATCACCTTTGCATATTCAGAAAGAAATACAAGCTCCAATATGGAAAAAATAAAGCCGAGTGCTTTTATTTTACATTGATAATGCTTTTTAAAATTAATAAATATGTGCCAAATATTGTTGGCACTTACCATTGAATGCATTTTCGTATTTCACATGGATACTTCATTGAGAGGAACAGAAATTATACACTCTCTTAAAGGACTACAATTAGAAAGTGATGTTAGTATTCCATGACTTGTTAGTGCAAATGTTTGCATTCTGCGCATGAGTATTAAAATTTATTTACTTATTTTGAATGAAAGACCTAACATCTCCTTTCCTTCATTCCCAGAGGAGATCCCAGGAGCTGATGGGCAGATACAATCACACAGTGCCCACAGAAGTCATCCTGAGTGCGGTCTCCAGCCTGCCTGAGCTGCAGGTCCCCCTCTTCTGGATCTTCCTCATCGTCTACGTTTGCACACTGGTGGGCAACCTGGGCATGATCATTCTGACCAAGCCGGATGCGCACTTACACACACCTATGTATTTCTTCATCAGACACCTGGCTTACATGGATCTGGGCGATGCCACCGCCATTTACCCCAAAATGCTGCTCAACTTTGCTATGGGTCAAAATACCATTTCCTATTATGCTTGTGCCATCCAGATGGCCCTATTCATTTTGTTCATCGTCAGTGAGCTTTTCATCTTGCCAGCCATGGCCTACGACCGCTACGTGGCCATCTGCAACCCTCTGCTCTACAACGTCATCATGTCCCAGACATGCTGCCATGTGCTGGTGGGCGTTCCGTACCTCTACAGCACCTTTCAGGCTCTTCTGTTCACTAGTAAGATTTTTACATCATCTTTCTGTAGCTCTCTTCTCAGTCACTTCTACTGTGATAATGTTTCTGCCTCATTTATGCTGTGCTCAAATGGACAAGAGATAGCATCATTGATCAACCACCTTGCAATATTCAATGTGACATCCACCCTCCTGCTAGTGCTATTGTCTTACCTTTTGATTCTCCTAGCCGTATATCGAATGCATTCTGCAGAAGGAAGAAAAAAAGCTTTCTCTACCCGTGCGTCTCACCTGACCGTGGTGGTGGTGTTCTTTGGGACCCTTTTCTTCATGTACGTACAGCCCAGATCTGCTCAGTCCTCTGAAATCAATATGCTATCCTCTGTGCTTTACACGCTGGTGGTCCCCATGCTCAACCCACTGATCTACAGCTTTCGAAACAAAGAAGTAAAGAATGCCTTCTACAGGGTCTTTGGGAAGAAGTGTAAAGTTTGTGTTTAGTATTTCTAATACAGTGCTAGTCTAGAAACCTATGATTTATTAAAAAGTCCATGTCATTTGACAGGCTGAAACTCCACAGTCTTTGTCACCAGACAGCACTGCTAAGTGACATGAATATATTTTCAATATAATATATCTGCATGGAAAATTGAAATATATATATATATATCCCAATGAAACCTCATATTTAGATACCAATTAAATGTCACTTCCTCCTCAACATTCCCTGGCTTTTAAGCAATATGAGTGCTTACGGAAACTTTTATTCTTCAAATGAAAAGGGATATTACATTGTACATCAATAAACTATGTGTTTTGCCTTGATAGTTATGAATTGGTTTTTGACAAATTTCTTCTTTATCTTGTTTGTTTCTGTATACTGAATCTCAAGTTACAATTCAAACTGTGAGTCTCTTGAATATATACAGGATATACATGGATTCTATGTAGATCTTTATTCAGGCAAAGTTCTGGATTCGTGAAAGTCAGCTCTAGAGAATTTTTGTTCAATATCCTGAGTACCTGAGAGAGATCTTATAGGCAGAGCTACTGAGGCAAGGAAACAAACCTGAAATTGCCCAAATATATTAAATATGTATTTAGGGGCTGGGGATTTAGCTCAGTGGCACAGCGCCTGCCTGACAAGCTCAAGGTCGTGAGTTTGATTCCCGGTACCGGAAAAACAAAACAAAACAAAACAAAAAAAAATATGTATTTAATAGATTTTAAGAAAATCCATGCAAAATGCAAAATAGATATTCTCATAAAAGGTGTAGAATTCTGTATCTAATCATAAACAATAGACCTCTAAATATGTGGCAATTTGAACTCTGTTCATGAGCTAATTAAATGCTGAAATGAAATTGGTGATAGAATAAGCAGGTAAATGCTTTAAGAAAGACTTTAGACATGTGTTTAGAATCCTGAATGATTTAACAGAAGCATGAGTTATGGTAAATGAATTAAAGATGGAGAAAAATTAACTGAGACTCCTGAAATAGCAATATGACATAATGATAAATATTTATTGAAGGATTATAATAGATCATTCACAGAAAAAGCAATTATGACACCTTCAACAAGTCATACTAGTCTTTCCTCGGGGAATCCACTGGGGAAAGAAAACACTGAATCAAGAATGTCAGCATAATCCCAGCAACTGGTAGAACCAAAATGAGATTCCTAATGTATTTCCAACTGTAGGTCCAACTGGGAGGAGAGACTACACAAGGAAAAAAAAATGAAGAAATGATAGTCAGAAATGCTTTCTGAAATTATTTTATTAAAAAATCATATCAGATATTCCAGGCATGCAACAGAAAATCTGAACTATCAACATGGAGGAGGCTGAGTCAAGAAGATCACTGGGAGTTCAAAGCTAGCCAGGGCTACACAGTGAGGTCATGCTCTGCTTGAGCTTTAGTGAAAGTAAGAAAAACACCAGAGATACTGGCTAATTAACTCTAACTAAAATAAAAAAAGAAAATAATCCACATTATTATTGAGTTACTAAGAAAACGTGAAAAATTTTTCAACCAAGTCTAGTTAAACTATTTATGAACATTCCAATTTTCACATTGTAAATGTTCCCCAATTTTTATAAATGTGAAAGGAAGAGTGCATGTGTGAAACACGAGATGAGTGACCCTGGTTTTAGTAGGTTGTGCGCTCAATGGGATGGCACTGAACATGACTCAGCTTCAGGTGCATCTCAGCTCAAGAGATGGTATCACTGGTTACACACTGCGGCAAGCACTGCCTCGTCAGAACTGTCACAGTGCTAAAGCATAGGGAATGCCTGCCTCTCATCGAGAGAAAATTCATACTTTTATGTCTTTTGGTTACCGTTCCTGGGACATCAGGGAAAGCACACAATTTATCTGAGCTTGGATTGCTCCTTCAATGCTCCTTCGCATATATGAGCTGAATGATGTGTTTTTCATTCAGTGCTTACTCTGATTTTATTGTGAAATATAAATTTCTGGGTGACAGTCATGGTGTCCTTTAAAATGTCATGGTGCTGCTGGCACTTGTCCCACTGCTGCTCCACTGTTTGACTCCAGGTAAGTGGAGAATGAGTGCTTTCAATTCAGTCTGTGAGGTCTCCATGGAATTGTTCTGATAATTTACATTGTTTGTACTGTCCTTAGGTCTCCTTGATGTATTCTCAAGGGAGAACATCCAGGGGTGTCATCTTAGCCAATTTTAAGTCTCTCGGATGATTTAGAGATAATCAACAGAAAGAAGTAACTGCTCTTTCCTCAGGGAATATCACATGTAGGATGGGCAGGCTTAAATTCTTTCCCAACACAAAGTCAGAGTGACATCAGAGTGGGAAATCTGCTTCCTCTTTTGAGGAACTGCCATGACTTTGAAGCTCAGCTGGGTTGGGTTAGTCTTCTTTACCTTTGGATGTTCACTGTAGACACTCAGGATCAGTGATACCTGATTCCTTTAAGTGCAGTGCAGAATGCAGTGTCTCCCTGTGAACTGTGGGCTCTTGCAGTAGTAATTTTCTCTTAAGGATAAGCGTCAAGGCATTGAGCAAATGTTGCAGATCATTCCGAGTAGTGAGATCTTAATGTGGCATTCAGATAATGCAAGAAGCAAGGAGCTGGAAAATGAATATAGAGCATCATTGATCTTCTCAAATAGAACTGAATAAGTTTAGGAATTCCAAATAAAATACAAGATACTCAGTTTTATTTGGTGTTGAAAACTATGTCAATATTACCCTTATTACATGTAGTATTTATCATTAAAATGTCATTTTACCATGAATATAGTATGCCATTAGGTTTGAGAAACACTTTGTGGTAATATTTCCATGGTGAAATCTTCTAAGTGTAAATGCAGGGAGTCACATGCATCACCGTGCAGATATTTTAGTCAGTGTATTTTCTGCAATGTTGCTTATGCTTGGCCTCTTTATTCATACAATATATTCACTATAAGGCTAATCTACACATTGAGTTTACAGAAATAAACAAATGGGTGTTTAAGAGAGTTGAAGTTATGAAGTAGTTCTTGAATCCCATATAACCGTGTACTTAATTGAGCTTGCATGGAGATTGGAAAACCAATTTCTCTGCATACTTTTTGTATGTAAGTAAGCATACTTTAGTATGCTTGCTCTATCAGAGAGCCAATATATTGAAATGTGTTTGGTGAAGTATTCCAAGAGCCCAGAGATATTCTTTTGCATACCATTAAGCTGGGTAAGAGAAGGAATCTACATACCTTCATAGTGTTATAATATGGACATTAGAAATGGAGGTGTACATCAAAGAGTAACAGAGTAACATCCTTGCCAAATTTAAGCACTTTGCATCATAATTTTGGTGCTGAATTTTTGGATCCTTTTGCTCAATCAAATGCATCTTTTATTCTACAGCAAAGCCCTAATATGGCAGGTCCATCTTGAAAATTCAAAATTCAGTGTTGAGAAGGAAGCAGACTATGGTTCAAGAGGAAGAGGAAGAGAGCTGAAGAAGAGCAGGATGCAAAAGCAGCCACAGCAGACCACTCTAGAGGGGAGAAGAGAGGAAAGCTGCACAGAGATCTTCGCGATCGCCCTGGGCGCAGCTGCGCTTCCTGACTCAGAAACGCAAGTGGGCGCCGACGTGAGCAGATTCCTGGAACTCCTGCCCACTGCCACTTCTCGGAGCTGCGCGTGCCCACTTTATGCTGGGCGCCAGGAAATGGACCCCTGGCGTCTGTGCAGACGGACACCAGTGTCCCAGTAAACAATTTTCTCCTCAGCGTTCAAATAACAGAGAAATTTGATATCCTATTTCTTTTCATAGTGAAATCATATTGACACATTTCCAGGTATCCATGAGCTGATTCTGAATGTGACAGGAGGAGAATTCAAGAGCTTAGGCTAAAGCAGAATCCCCACCTTTAATTGTTCTGCTTGGTTTATAAAATTCTTACACTAATTTTGTGAAATGAAGAGTGACACTTTTTACTAAAATATTTGAATGTAACTGTGTCATACTTTATGCCACTGTAAAATTGCAGAAATAGTTTAAAAGTTATTTAGTCATGTTATGAAAATGATCCAATGAATATTTGATAGTACTTAAAAACTGCCAACTTACTGCAGTTGTTTAATGACATAAAGCATATAAAAGTAAATACACCAAATCCATGTGCCTTGACATATAACCAGTTATATAAGCACAAATATATTTTAATCTTTACTTGAAAGTCTAATGTAATTGAGGATTCTCTTTCACCAAAATGAAGTAAGAATAACCATACAAGCTGATAAATGAATTTAAATGTCTACTGGGAATAAATGTTATGTAGAACTTCGAGTGTAAGTAGTTATTTAAAACAACATAAAATCTCTTCATTAATTTTAATAATGAACTTGACATATCTGCACATACTGGCAGATACCTTTTCTTATATAGGAAGGCGGCATTTATCAGTGATAAGTGCCATTAATTGTGAACATTATAAATATGAACACAAATCATATAATTAAATATTACCTCAGTGCTCCGTTACTTTGATTTTACAAGTGTCTCTAGACATTAATGCAGTATAATTTCAAATAAATCATGCTGGAATTTCATTAAGAATGCAAAGAAATAGTGAACATAATTGACTGAAGGTTATGTACCTTACATTTTACAAAGACATCTTGCTCTGTGAATTCATTAATAAAGCTCCACATGACTTTTAAGAGTACTAACACTCCACCAGAATTGTCAAACTGCAAGAGCAGAACAGGGTGTGATCAAGAAACACAGTGTATGTTTAACTCAACACAAATTTTACGAAGTAAAGGACACAATGCCATTAATCTTTTTCAAAACATTGGGAAATGTCACAGGGGATGTATTTATTCCATTTTTATGCCCCTTTCTAAGGCACAGGGGATGTATTTATTCCATTTTTATGCCCCTTTCTAAGGCAGTTCTAGAACTCCTACTTTGTGAATATCTTCTGCTGCATTCTTGGTGCTGCCTCGATGTCCTGAATCAATTGCAATTTAACAATCAAGGTCATTTTGACCATGGAATACAACCTAATGTGTCTATATTTACATTGATAGGTATTTGCTAATAACAGAATGCTCCAAATGTTATTGACTCTCAATGCATAAAACTGTTCACTTATTTCATATTGATACTTCATTTAGAGAAAATAAATGCATCCTCCTGCTTGAAACTATTAGATGTAAGATGTAAAATTAGTAGTCTATCACTTATTATTATAAATATTGCCAGTATGTGGATGAGTGTTATAATTTGTATGCTTCTCTGAATGAAAGATGTAACATCTCCCTTTGTCCTTCCTGGAAGAGATACCAGGACCTCATGGGCAGACAGAATCTGTTGGTACCAACTGACCTCATTCTGAGTGCAGTCTCCAGCCTGCCTGAGCTGCAGGTCCCCCTTTGTTGGGTCTTCCTCCTCCTCTATGCTATCACACTGGTGGGCAACCTGAGCATGAGCATTTTGACCAAGCTGGATGCCCACTTCCACACTGCCATGTATTTCTTCAGCAGACACCTGGTTTACATTGACCTCAGTGATGCCTCTGTGATTTTTCCCAAAATGTGGGTAAATTTTGTTATGTGTCAAAATACCATTTCCTACTACGCTTGTGCCATCCAGATGGTCTTCTTCATTGTGCTCATCATCAGTGAGCTTTTCGTCTTGCCAGCCATGACCTATGACCGCTACGTGGCCATCTGCAATCCTCTGCTCTACAACGTCATCATGTCCTGGACACGTTGCCGCATGCTGGTGGGCATTCCGTACCTCTACTGTACTCTTCAGGCTCTTCTGTTCACCAGTAAGATTTTTCCATCATCTTTCTGCACCCGCCTTCTCACTTATTTTTACTGTGATAATATTCCTTTATCACTTAAGTTGTGCTCAAATGGATGAGATATAGCATTGTTGATCAACATCGTTGCAATATTTAACTTGACGTCCTCCCTCCTAGTAGTACTGTTATTCTACCTTATGATTCTCCTAGCCATATGCCCAATGCGTTCTGCACAGGGAAGGAAAAAAGCTTTTTCTACATGTGCGTCTCACCTGACCATGGTGGTGGTCTTCTTCGGGAAGCTTTTCTTCATGTGTGTGCAGCCCAGATCTGCTCAGTCCTCTGATATTGATAAACTCTCCTCCGTGTTTTACACTTTAGTGATCCCCATGCTCAACCCACTGACCTACAGTGTCAGGAACAAAGAAGTCAAAAATGCCTTCCACGGCGTCTTCAGGAAGAAGTTCAAAGTCTGTACATAGTGTTTCGTGTAGAATGCTAGCCTAGTTAAACAGGAGTTACTGACAGGCAATGTCATTTGACAGTCTAAAACTAAAAAGGCATTTTTGCTTGACAGCATTCCTAATCAATAGAGATATATACTTTGTGCCCACAGGTAATATTCACTATAATACGCCTGTATGGAGAATTGTATTATTGTCTATATATTTTCTCCAATTAAACCCTAACATTTTAAATACAAACTAAAGTCACTTTTTCCACAACAATCTCTGGCTTTTACTCAATTTTGCTTCTAAGGGAAACTTATTCTTCCAATAAAAATGGATATTATATCTGTAACAATGATACATGTTTTTCTTTTGCATTAAATGCCGTGCTTCTGACTTTTGCACCTTTTTCGTTTATGTCATTTTTATTTTTGTATGCTGAATCTCAAATTCTGCTTCAAAAATAGATATCTTGCACATATCCAGCACACATATGGATCATATGAGGATTTCTGTTCAGATAAACATTTGATTTCTTAAAACCAGCATGTGGAGAATTTTTTTTTTTCTACATCTGGGAACTCTATTACTTTATATTTAACAGTTTTTATGAAAATACATTGAAAAAATGCTAAGGACACATTAACAGAAATGTATAATCTAATCACAAATAATAGGCATCTAAATATAGAGCAATTTGAACTCTATCCAGGAGTTTATTAAATCCTGAAATGAAATTGGTCATAGAATAAGCACATAAGTGCTTTAAGACAACTCTGATAGGTGTGCTTAACATGCTTTAAAGGTTTAACAGAAACGTGATTTTTATTGGAAAGCAATTAGAGACAGAAAGAAATTACCTGAGACTCCTGAAGATGACAATATAGCAACAATAATAAATATTTACTGAATGATTTTATCATCTTATTATTCATGGCAAAGGTGACACCCTCAACAAGGCATACTAGAATCTTTCTTTAGGGAATCTGCTCGGGAAACAAGATGCTGAACATAAATTATTAGTATAATCTCAGTAACTGGTAGAAGAAAAACAAAACTTAATGTACCATAAATTGTAGGTCCAGTTGGGAGGAGACATGACATAGGGCCCCTCCTCCCCCCCCAAAAAATTCTGAGATGTTAGCTAGAAAATCTTCCTGAAGTTCTTTTTTCAAAAATTCATACCAGATATTCTGGGAGTGGTGTTGCACATCTGTTATTCCAGTACTTGGGAAGCTGAGGCAGGAGGAAGGTTGTGACTTCAAGGTTAGATTGGCCACACATTGAGCTCAAAGTCATCCTGAAAATTATTGGAAGTCCCTGGCTCAGGAAAAAATAATTATACCAGAGGTCTGGATTAACTAACTCAAATTACAATTAAAAGAAAAAAGCATGCACATCATGATTGAGGTATTAAATAAACATGAGACACTTTTTAATCAAATCTGGTTATTTTGTTCATTAACATTACTATTTTCATTAAGTAAAGGGCCCCCAGTTTTTTAACATATAAAAGGAAGAGTGCACGTGTGAAATCTGAGATGAGTGACATTGGTTTTAGTAGCTTATGTTCTCATTGGGAGGGCACTGAAAACGATTCAACTGCAGAAGCATCTCAGCTCAAGAAATAATATCACAGAGCACTACATAGACCTTGCAATAAAACATTGCCTCATCCTTATTGCTATCCTTTTACCAAAGGACAAGGTCTGTCTGTCACTCACTTAGAGATGAAGCATTATTTTCATACCTTTAAGTTACTGTGTGTTTGACCTCAGGAAAAGGGCAGAAATACCCTGGTTTTGTTTCTTTTTAAACTATATGTCACTTGGATGAGTTACATAACATATTTCAATTCAGTGTTACTATGTATTTTATTGTTAAAGGTAAAGCAAGAGGAAAATCCCTGGGTGACAATGGTGCTGTCGTTTAATATTTCATGGTGCTGCTGGAACTCTTCTGGGTCTCAGCGGGGAAGTGGTGAGAAAGTTTCTCCCATTGCTGCTCTACTGTTCGACTGCTTATAAGTGGTGAGCGAGGGCCATGAAGTCTCGGAAGTCTCCACGGAACTCTTGCAAGTTGTTTGTTCCTTTCCTCGGTTTCCTTGACATGTTCTCCTGGGGGAATGTAGAGGAGAGTAATCAAAACAAACTTTAGGTCTCAGAGATGATTTAGGCATAAATAACTGAATGAATTCAGTGCTCCTTCCATAGAGCAAATCACACATAGGGAGCAAAGACTTAAATTCTTCCTATCCAATCAGAAAGGCAGAGTGATTTCAGAGAAAGAAATTTGCTTCTCTGTCGAGGTGAGTGAGAATTGGTACAACATTTTTTTTTTTTTTATCCTTTCTTTTTTCTTTTTTGTCTTTTTGAAACTGAGTCTCACTGTGCAGTTCAGGCTGATCTTGAGCTCACTTTGTAACCCAGCCTGGCTTCGAAATTGCAACAATCCTCCTGTCTCAGCTTCTTGAGTGCTGGGCTTACAGGAGTGTGCCACAACACCAGGTTGAACTGGCTTGAATTTGATGCTCACCTGTGTTTGATAACTCCCCATAACTGTTGGAGTTCATAAACCTTTAAGTTACTGAGACAATCAACAGCAGCTGATTCTTTAAACACATTACAAAACTCACTATCGCTTCCCTGAACCTCTTAGAAGAGTCTATTTTTCAGGTATAAAAATCAATTCACTGAAAAATTATCCTTGAACAATGGAACAGGTGAGAGCTTAAAGCGACATTCAGCTAATGCAAGTCACAAGGGAGTCAGAAAATGTTTAATGTGCAACATCAAACTCATCAGTGAGAACCCATTAAGATTAGGGTTTCCACATGAAATACAAGACACTCCGTTTAATTTGATTTTCAGGTATATCACATTATACTTATTTCATTTCTTGTTTTATAATTGAAGTATCAATTTAATATAAATATGTGCTAATTATATTTTACAAAAATATTTTAAGGTATGACTTTCATGGAAATATTTCATAAATTGCAAGTAATTATTCTTTAGGTTGGCAAATGCCAAAACATGCAGATATATTTTAGTCTTTGATTGTTTTTCCTACAGCATTGCTTCTGGCCCTATTTTGTATACTGGGTAAGGCAAACTTGAATACCCAAAAATAAATAGAAGATTTTTTAAGAGAAATGAGGTTATGAAGAAACCCGTGAAGCCCAAATCCTTCCTAACACGAACGTATACACATGGGCGTATAAATATAGAAATTCAATCTCTTTGAATACATTTTGGACACTGCCTGTACTAATAGAATGAAGTAGAGATATCTACCCTGTGTGCATTGTGATATTCCAAAGACTCAGAGGTATCCTTTCTGATACAAGAAACCTAGGTAGGGTGAAAGAATGTATAAATTAAGAGGGGTTAAAAACGCATACTAAAATGGAGTTAAACTTAAAAACACCTGTAAAATTCTTGGAGAAAATTGAATTACTTTATAGTCATACATTTGGTGCTAGATTTCTGGGTCCTTTTGCCCAATCAAATGCATCTTCTATTCTACAGTAAAACCCTAGGATGGCAGACCCATCTTGCAAATTCAAAATTAAATTTTGAGAAGGAAATAGGCTATAGTTCATGAGTGTGAGGAAGAGATCTGACAGAAGAGAGAGTCTCAGATGAAGCCAAAGCGGTCCACTGCCCGGAGGAGAAGAGGGAAAAGCTGCCCGGCGGGTTCCGGGATCGCCCTGTGCGCCGCTGTGTTTCCTGACTCGGAAACGCAAGTGGGCGCGGACGTGAGTAGATTCCTGGAACTTCTGCCCACTGCCTCTTCGAGCTGCGCTTGCTGACTTTGTGCTGGGCGCCAAGAAACGGACTCCTGGCGTCTGTGCAGATGGACACCAGTGTCGCAGTACACAATTTTCTCTTCTGCATTCAAGCAACAGAGCGATTTGATATCCCATTTCTTCTTCATGGGAAAATCACCTTGACCCAGTTCCAGGGTTTCACTGACCTGGTACTGAATGTGTCAGGAGGAAAATTCAACACAGCAGGCTTAAGGGGGGCTCACCACGTTTACTCTGCTCTTCCTTTTACTGACTTCTCACCTTCATTTTATTAAATGAGGGGTAGCACATGTTTCTGTAATGTTTGACTATCACAATATCATATTCCACTCCGTGGTAAAATTGCAGAAATAATTTGAGATCTTCTATATATGCTCTGAAAATGCTCAAATAAAAATTTTAAATTAAATATAAATTGTGCTATTTTCCTGGTGTTATTTTCTGAAGTAAATAAAGCAAAATGAAATACTAAAAAGATGCGTTTGTCAACGTGCACTACTTTTTAGCGGGAACAGATCTGCATTTTGCATGTCTCCATGTGCCTACAAATCACTAAACACAAGAACACTGTCAAATCTCTGTGGATTGGACTCTACAGGTGTCTGTAGATATTGGTGTATCATCACTGCATTTAGAGCATGAGGGAGTGGAATTCAGAACATAGAGGGGAAGAGCTTAATTGACTGTAGCTTATGTATTTTATTTTCAGAAGTTAGTAGGATGTGTGGCTTGGTGAATTTGTTGATAAAGTGCCACGTAACTTTTAAAAATACTAAAACCTTACTACCTTTGGAGACCAGATTGGAAATAGAAGGCATGATTGAAAAACACTGTACACTTAAATAAATAGTAATTTTAGAAAGTAAAAGATAAACGGTCATTAAACAGTCTCAAAACTCTCCTTTTCACTTGGGACACCGTTATCCCACTTTTCTTGCCACTTTCTGAAGCAGATCAGGAAATCTTATGTTGTGGTCATCCTGGCACTACTGTGACGGCCTTGATATCTTGAATAGATTCAGAACAGTGACCGCTCATCGTCATTTGAACATTGGAAAAGAACCTGACGTGGGATGGCAGCAGATCCAGTGACTAAGGTGGATTTCATCGAGCATATCTTTTATGACACTGACTTTCTGCCAGATGGCCCAGGGCAGCAGGATTTATTAATTTTGACCACAAGTCCTTAGTGCCCTCATGAAACACTGCTAGAACTGCTGCTCGAAGTAGCAAAAATAATGGGTCATGCGGGTGTGTAAAGTAAGAGGGAAGATTTTGATCCTGATTTATGGCAATAAATCTTACTGTAATTAAATAAATTAAATAAATTAATAATAAATAATAATAAATAAATTAAATAAATCTTACTATAATTTTCCAAACCCCTAGTGTGTTAAGAAAAAACTGTGATTCAATTGAATAGAAGAAATGAAGCTTCATATTTTTATATTAACATATATATGGTTTTGCCAATAATATTTACGCTACAAATATTGTTGACTCTGTTAAGCTTTTAATCTATGTCATAATGGGGCATGTATTTTATGTGGATACCTCATTTGGAGGAAAAAAATTCCATTCATTTAACTTTTAGAATGAGAACATAAATTACTATTCAGTTGCTTTCTAGAATAAATATTTCTATTCTATGCATAACTATTATGACTTGCTCGACAATTCCAAATGAAAGACATAACATCTCACTCTTTCCTTCCTAGAAGAGCTACCGGGACCTCATGGACAGACAGAATCTGACGGTGCCAGCTGACCTCATCCTGAGTGCGGTCTCCAGCCTGCCTGAGCTGCAGGTCCCCCTGTTTTGGATCTTCCTCATCGTCTACATTTGCACACTGGTGGGCAACCTGGGCATGATCATTCTGACCAAGCTGGATGCGCACTTACACACGCCTATGTATTTCTTCATCAGACACCTGGCTTACATGGATCTGGGCGATGCCACTGTGATTTATCCCAAAATCTTGGTAAATTTTGTTGTGGGTCGAAACACCATTTCCTATCATGCTTGTGCCACACAGATGGCCTTCTTCATTATGTTCATCATCAGTGAACTTTTCATCTTGTCGGCCATGGCCTATGACCGCTACGTGGCCATCTGCAACCCTCTGCTCTACCACGTCCTCATGTCTCAGACACGTTGCCGTGTGCTGGTGGGCGTTCCGTACCTCTACAGCACCTTTCAGGCCCTGATGATCACTAGTAAGATTTTTACACTGACTTTCTGTAGCTCTGAGATCAGCCATTTCTACTGCGATGATGTTCCTGTGTTACTTATGGTGTGTTCAAATGCACAAGATGTGGAATTGCTGATCATCTTATTTTCAGCATTCAACTTGATCTCCTCCCTCCTGGTGGTTCTCTTGTCCTACATGCTGATTCTCCTAGCCATATGTCGGATGCGTTCTGCCGACGGAAGGAAGAAAGCTTTCTCCACGTGCGGCTCCCACCTGACGGTGGTGGTGGTCTTCTACGGGACCCTTCTGTTCATGTACCTGCAGCCCAAATCCTCTCACTCCTTTGAGACTGATAAACTGACCTCTGTCTTTTACACTTTAGTGATCCCCATGCTGAACCCTGCAATCTACAGCTTGAGGAACAAAGAAGTAAAAAATGCCTTCCACAGAGTCTTTGGGAATCTCTTTAAAGTTTGTTTGATGTTTCATTTAGAGCGCTAGTCTGATAAACTAGGGTAACAGCAAAGGCACTTGTTGACAGCCCTGTGAGTTGATATGAATACATTTATTGGCTCCACCGGAAATGCTCATCATAACACATAGAAAGCTAGATTATTTTCTATATATTCACCCAATTATATTGCAAAATTTAAATATCAATTAAGTCCCACTTCTCCAACAATCCCTGATTTTTATTCAATTCTTAAGGAAACTATTTTTTTTTTAATGAAAATGTCTACTACATTCTACATCAGTTAACTGTGTGTTTATTTTGCATTTGTTGCTTTGGTTTGGTTTTTCAAAGCCTGGTTCTTGTACTGTTTTTATTGTATACACTGAATCTAAACCCACAGTACTAAAAAAGTAAGTTTCTTGCAGACATAATATACAAAGATTATATCTGGATTTTTGTTCAGCAAACATTTGAGCTCTTAACAGCCAGCATGTAGAACATCTTAGTTCAAAATCTAGACATCTCATAGAAATCTTAATAAGAAGAGCTACTTGAGACAGTTTTGGGGAAATACATCTGAAATTGCACAAACTTTTAAACAAATATTTAATATTTTTAAAAAATTAATTGAAAAAATGCAGTGCACATTTTAACATAAAATTCACAGTAATAATCCCAAATATTAGAACTGTAAAAAGCAGCAAATGTAGACTCCATCCAAATAGATTCTAAAATTATATTGGTGATTGAAGAAGCAGGCAAAAACTAGAAGATATATTTAATATACCAAGTGATTTAACAAGAATATAATTATTGTGGGAGACGAAGAAGAGAACCAATTAGTTGGTCCTCTAAAAGATGGAAAAAAATTGCTAAAAGGGAAGGAAAAACTGGGATGAGGGAAAGGAGAAAAAGAAAGAAAGAAGGGAAGAAATATATATGTAAAGGTAGCTGAGATAAGTTGTACTGCTAATGTGATTAGTTTATTGAAAGGAGTAGTTGATGCTTAATTTTTTGACCAATTTTGCATGCTTATATCTGGTCATCTGAACAACTAATTTGAGGAAAACAATATGCAATGTAACAACCATTGGTGAATTCCTACCACCTTGTTTAGTGAAACTCTGTATCATTTCTAATTTTTAAAATTATTTTTTATTCTATTCAATGGTTTGATCAGTCTCACATTCTTACATCTGGTAATCTGAAAATAACAATGTATAACATAACAACCACTGTTAATTCCTATCATTTTCTTTTGAAGCTCAGTATCATTTTTACTGTTTTTGTGTTGTGTTGTTTTTGTCTATGTTGTTATTTTGTTATTGTTTTTTTATTCTCTTCAAAATTAAGAAAGATGATACATTATTATTAATAAATATTTTTTAAATGATTACAACATCAGAGTACATAAGGAAAAAGCAAATATAATATCTTCAACAATGCACTGAGGTCTCCTCAAAATGAAAACATTGACAAAACAGTACACAGAGTAAAAATTATCAGAAGAGGGCCAGGGATCAGCGGCACAGTGCCTGCCTGGCAAGCGCAAGGCCTTGAGCTTGGTTCCTGGTACACTCCCCAAAAACTTATCAAAATAATCTCAGTTACTGGTAGAATTAAAAGTAGATGCCTAACATATGTTTAATTGTAGGTTCAGTTGGGAAGAGAGACTTAAAAGGGCAGAAAAAACTTGAAGAAATGTTAGCCAGAATTTCCAAAATTATTTTTTAAAAATAATAGCAGCGGTTCTGGGTGAGGCAGCGTCCACCTATAATCACAGAGCTCAGGAAGCAAAGACAGGAGGATTACGGACAGCTCAATGTCAGCCAAGACTATGCTGTGAGCTCAAGGCCAGCCTGAACTATAGTGCAAGACCCTGTCGCAATTCTATTACTACTATGACTACTACTAATAATAATGATAATAACAACAACAACCATAATGCCAGAGATAGAAAAGGTTAAATAATTCCAATCTGGGTAAACAAAAAAAAAAATTTCCTCAAAGTGCATCACAAACAAACTTCTGAAAACCAATGCTGAAAAGAA